TAGATGATGTGGCACAAGGTATCAGGTGACATGGCATGAGATGATTCTTCTATTTTTTTAAAAAAAATGACTTTTAAAGTCACCGCCAAAAGTCACTGCTAAAAGATTTTAATGGCAAAAAAAGGTTACCACCAAAAATTTAGTCGCTAATGATTTTTGATAAAGACTCAAAAGTAGACCTTTAGTAGTGACCCAAGGTAAACTTTTGATTGCAAAATACTTTTAGTGGCGACTATGTTTGTCACCGGTAAAAACCATTAACAATGAGATTTTTTGTGGCGACTCTTTGGTGGTAAAAAGTTGCCACTAGAAACCTTTAGCGGCAACTTTTGAACTTTTGGCGAAAGTCATTTTTTTTTAGTGTATACTCCCTTTAATCCCCTATTATAAGGCATTTTTAACTTCTTCTCTAATAAAGAATGAAAGTCAATTGGAATTTTAGTTTCTTTTGACCACATGAATGAACTCTACTCCTTCTAGTTCCTATTATAAGATGTTTGTAACTACTTCATTAAATCAAAGAATGACAGTTAACTAATTAAATTATCTTAAAATGAACTAACTTTATCCCTATTTAAAAAAAGGAAGAAAGAAACACATAGTATATGATAAGCCATAAAATTAAATTTATAATAGGAATAAAATTAAAAAATAGTTATAAATAACTCTTAGTATGCCTTATATTAAGGATCAAATAATCTTTATAGAGGGTGCCCAATAGGATGGAAGGAGTATATGAATGGATGTAAAAACATATACATTCACATAATTTGAACAATATTTATTTTTATCATTCAAAGGATCTCAAGATATGTTCAAATTATTGAAAAAATATCAATTTCTTTGGACCCATCAATGGACAATGAGTAGTAAAAGATTTTGAAATCTCATACAACATCAATAGTTTAGTTATCAATGAAAGCATCTTAATAGTTCGAATAACGTTTTTTTTTATTTTATATGGAGTAAAATGACAATTTGGCCCTTCAACACCCAAGAGTATCTAGAATCTTAAACTCATTTTTGGTTCATTTTCACTCCTGAAAATTTAAAACCATGGCAATCTTCCCCTTGCCATTAACTTTGACCGTTAATTAATTAGAAAATTATAGAAAATAATCAAAAGAATCATAGAAAATAACCAAAAATTAAACATTTTATCTTTTGATAATGTTTTTATAATTTTTGGGTCCTTTTTCTGTGATTTTTTGGTCATTTTTTTTGTAATTTTTGATGTTATTTTCTATAATTTTAAAGTCAACTAATGGTCAATTAATTGTACAATTTTAAATGTTTAGGGTTGAAAATGAATTTAAAATGAGTTCAGAGCCTCATAGGTCTATAGTTTAAGAGCAAAATTATCATTTTATCCTTTTATATATTTTTCTATTGGATTTAAAATTATATTTTCTAAAATAATTGGAGCTATGAACTCTTTAATATTTATCTTCCATGTTGTTAATACTAGATTATGTGTTTCATGCTCAATGTTTTTAATTAATTTAATTTAATCAATAGGTAATTATTAATTAGAAACACCATATTAGATTGAATTAATCTATCAAATAGCAATACTTAATAAACAGACAAAATCAAATTAAGGACGACCGCTCTTTCAAACCAACCATAATTTGCTGGTGAGAAAACAACTATGATCTTGCAATTAAAGTTTATGAATGCCTATGTATGTTAACCCCATCAATATCAAACATATCAACAAAAAATCAACCGAGAATATCAATAAAGGATTTATGAAAAAAATTAATATCTAACTGGGATTCTGGATAAATTAGACATTTATTAAAATAATAACTTTAGTTGTCAATTTCTTGATGTTTACTTGTTAAAAATATGGGTAAGATATTAAATTTTTTGGGAGTTATTCATCAATATTCTCCCTCTATGAACTATGATGCACATACACGACACGTGAATCAAATATTTGATATGTCGATATTTTTGTTTTTAAAAATTATAGGAAACATTATGTATTTGATATGTGCATATACACACACATTAACACACATAAAAAGAATTAAAAATATACTTTCAGTTAAGAAAATATCCAAATTAATATATTTATATAGTCATTTATAGTCATACCAAATAAAAACATAATTATTAATTATATTTTTATAATAGAAAAAATTGCATTTGAGGACCTCTAGAGCAAATCTATTGCCAAAAAGGACCAAAAGAATATGAAATTGTTCTACAGGACCAAAGGATGTAAATATAATTAAAATTTGTCATAAAAATGAAACTGCCTCATTTTTTTTTCTTTTTGGAAAAAATCCCCCATTGTCATTAGACCACTAGATTGACACCATCCGGTTGTTAGCGGTCGGGCCACCATTGCCAAACACTAATGACAGTTAAATTTAATTTTTCAAGGTGACAAAGGGTGAATTTTAACCCCAACCACTTGGTTACCAAAAGAATTGATAACCACTAAGCTACCAACACTTTAAGTTACATATTGCACAAAGTTGTATAGATTATCAATTTTATTTTTATTTTCTCAAACACTTCTTATCAAGAGTTTAATGATTACTTGTCATTTTACAAATAATCATTAGTTAAAGTATTGATGGGGATTTATTAGAAAAGCAACATTTTTATAAATATTTAGTTGCTTTTTAAAATCAAAAGTTTACTTGTCAAAAATTTATGTGAACTTGTTCTTTCAGTAAAAGTTTAATTTTTAAATTATTAAGGGAAATTGTCAAAGTTAGTAAAAGAGACTTCTCATCTAACAAATGATTGCATATTAAATAACTGTATCTTGTTAAAAAAATTGATATGGAGAATTACATCCAAATCCCACTTAACACACAATATATTACTTCAAGGTATATTAACAACTGAGTTTAGGTGACCAATTAATATCCATGAACTTGTTATTTTAGTAAAATTTACTTTTCAAATTAGGAAAAATATAACATTGGGTCTTGTACTTTGCTTGAATTTTGCTATAGGTCCCTGTACTTTTTTTTAGTATTCAAGATTCCTACACTATTTTTTGGTGTTCTAGATCATCTTGCAAAAACCTATAGCAAAAATTGAACAAAATATAAGAACTCAAAGTTATGTTTTCTCGTCAAATTATTAAGGAAGATTGTCAAAGTCAGTGCATGGGAACTTGTCATTTCATTAATGGTCGCTTGTTAAATTACTAACAAGGACTTGTCATTACGAGTGCATATTAAATTTTTCTAACAAGTCATATTAAAATGACAAGTCTTTTTTACAAACATAACAAATAACCATTGGGATATTAAAATATAAAAATGTATGCATGTTAAATTTTCTAACAAGTCTCCATTAGTAATTTAACTATGATGGTCGGGACAAAAAAAAGCTAATATTTGATATAGGGTAAGAATTTAAATATTTTACATTTTTTCTTCATTTTTAAAATTTTTTTAGGCTAACAATTAGCTGCTTTCAACTCTCATTTTTCCCCTTGACCTTGAAAATTATGGTAACAACGTATGGATGAGAATGAGAATTATTGATGTACAACTTCACCAAAATCATATTTCATTAAAATTTTTATAAATTTAACTATATGTTAGTTGATCTTTTTGGATTTTAGGATCTACGTGTCATTTCCCTATAAAATTTGTTTATAAAAATATGAAAATTTAATAATTTTATTACTCGATATGATCTCTCAAACAGTAATCAACCGCAATGAACAGTGACAAAGATAAATTTTGAAATAGAGATAGGGTTACCTCAAAAAAGAAAAATTCTAAACAACATTATTATTGCAACCCCACCACCACTCCTTTTCTAATGCGAAATCTCATTGATGAATGTAGCTCACAACTGCCTTTCTATTTTTCCACAAGTTATCTTCTTATTAATTTCTCAGTTGACTAAGTCAAGCTTTTTTTTTTTTTTGATGACACATCCAAGTCAAGCTTTTTTTTTTTGGGTAAAATTTCTAAGTCCAGCTTTTGATAGGCTTTTGTTTTATAATTTGTTTAAAATTTTGGATTCAATACTAATTAAGGGCTAACTTATTATAATCTCAAGTGTAATTAATAAAAAGAATAGAGAGAATCGCTTCTAAGGACCTGTGAACAATGTTATTCTCAAATAAGGATCATTAACAAGTCATCATAAAAAAAAAAAACAACAATTCTAAGTTTTTTTTTTTTTAACAATAATCCATTTCATATTTGATCTTTGCCTATGACTAACATTTTTCATAGGCATGCGGTTGAAGTTTGCAACATTTATTAGCATTAAATCAACGGTGCTAATTTTATAATAGGAAAATTTGAATGGGCTCTACCTTTTAAGGTTTTGGGTCAAGTAAATTCCCCAATATTCTAACATCTATATTTTTCTCCATTGTAAAATAGCTTTTGCATATTATTTTGTTCATTATAATTAGCTATTTTAGACTAATATTGGTCAAGTAAATTCACCGATATTATTACTCTTACTTCAATGCTGATCAAAGCTTTCTTCTCCTTGTTAAGCTACTAAGAAAAAAAAAAACAGAGACTTTCAACTGTGATTATAAAAGGTTGCCACTGAAAGTTTGACCACCTATGACAGTTAAAATTTCTTAATTATTTTCCATTTCAAACAAGCTTTTGCAAATTATTTTGTTCATTACAGTTAGCTATTATAGGTTATAACAATTAATTACATTATTATCCTCACTCTTATTACGAAGATGGTCAGCTAATCACTCTCAGATTATATATAGTGAAGCTTTTTTCTCCTTTCTCTTCATCCCAAGAAGCTTTGAGCCTATCCAACATGGGAAATCTTTGCTTTAATTTCTCCTCCTCCATTTTCTCCATGCTCTGTCTCATGGTTTGCCCATCTTTCATTCCAATTTTACTCTCGATGGATTGACACTTCTTGCTTTCAAATCTTCTATTAGGGAACCGTACAGTCACTTGAAAAATTGGTCCAACTCATCATCTTCCTTTTCTAACTAGTTTGGAGTCACATGTGATTCTAACAATGAGAAAATGAGAATCTTGAGTCTTCCTGAGATGGGTCCTGAGGGCACCTTACCATCACAAATTGGAGATCTGTCCTTCCTAAAAAAACTTGAACTACAAAGCAACAACTTTCATCATGGGCTGCCATAAGAGTTGCTTCAATTGCACAAATTGGAAATTCTAAACTTGAGTTATAATGCACTTAGTGGAGAAATTCCAACTTGGATTGGAAGCTTGTTTATGCTTCAACTCTTGAGTCTTGGCAATAATAGTTTTGGAGGTCTCATTCCTCCAAGCACATGCAATTTGTTTAAGTTGGAGACCTTGGATTTGAAGTCTAATTCTATCAACGGATCTATTCTGTTGGATATTGGAAGACTTCAACACCTGAAAGTTTTATGCATTTCTAGAAACATGCTTTCAGGAAGTATACCTCCAACTATCTCTAACTTATCATCTCTTGAACACATTTCTTTGTCTCTCAACTTCTTAGAAGGTATGTCTTGTATAATGTATATGTGATGATATAAATATTTGTTCTATTTCAAAATTGATGAATTTATCATTTTTTTTTGTAATTGTTTATATCAGTATTATATGTGATGTCAATCTAACTGGGGGCTTGCTATTTACTATGTCTTTTCAAAGTTAGTCCTTGAACCAAAAATTTTCAAACATTTTACAATTGCATGAAACAGATTAACTGTACCTCTATAATTAAGCTATCATCCCCAGAACAAATTTAACTATTCTTAAAAAATTATACTTTGAATGAGTTCTTTCTGACAAAAGATATTTTTGTTCAAGTAGACAATTTAATAAACGTTATTCGGATTCTCTTATTTCAGCGAGGCACTTTCTTTTACGCTATAATTTATGGAATTCCTTTTGTACTTTTCACTTGTCATAGTTGATTTATGCATATCTGCATATTATCTAGTTGGTAATATTGACTAGAGATCAAATTATTGAATACATGTATGAGATACAACAATAATGTATTGCCAGAATTATATGCCTTACTCTTTCGTTGAATACTATTTTTTATATAAACACTCATGAAAAAAGTACAAGGTTATTTTTTGGCCGTATTTCAGGACAAATTCCCAAAGAAATTAATACGCTTACAAATATGAAAAATATGTACATGGGTATGACTAAGTTGTCAGGGCAAATACCAAGCATCAAAAATTTGTTCATGCTTGAAAATTTATATCTTGCAAGAAATAGCCTCCAGGGTACATTGTTAACGAATCATAATTTTTTTTTTTCTATTGCTTGCTCTTCTTTTTGGGACAATTATGTATAGGTCTTATGGAGCATACTTATTTACAAATAAGTCACATGTAATTTAGAAACTACAGCCAGGTCCTTTGGGATCTAATTGTAATTTGAAATTAAGATCCATTGATAATACTACCTTTACTTATAATATATAATCAATTTAATTATTGGATATGTGAAGTTATAGTTGTAAAAAATTAAAGTAATAGTTGTGAATTATTGATGAAATAGTTGAAAAAAATTAATATTAAACTTTGTTAGTAATGTATAGATTTATAAAGTTATAGATGTATAATATTGATGTAATAGTTGTAAATTATTGATGAGGTAATTGTATACAATTAATATCAAACATGTAACGCATGATTAGTTTAAGTATTGGATGTGTGAAATTATAGTTGTAAAAAGTTATAGTGATAGTTGGAAATTACTGATGATGTAATTGTAAAATACTTGATTGATGTAATGTATTTTTAATAGGGATATTATTGCCTTTGTACCTTAGTTTCAAGTTATACTCAAGTCCCAAGGGACCTAGCTATGATTTTTAATTTTTGTGGACTTATTTATAAATAAATTTGCTCTATGAAACCTATACATAATTTTTCCTTTATTTTTTAACGGTAATCATTAGAAGCAACTTTTTTGAGTGATCATAATTTTTGGAGAAGCATCCCTTCAAATGTATGTCAGGTAGATGATTTCAATGGTTTTATTTAGGAGACAATATATTTTCATAAGTCTATATTACAAAATAAATCAAGGACCCATTTATTTATGATTGAAAAATCAGTGAGTTTTATATCGTTTAGACTTTTTTTAAAAAAAGAGATATATGTTGTAGAGACTTTATAAAAAGCATAAATTATTTATGTTTGGCTATAGTAATGAAAATTTATTATTATTTAGTTATTTTTATATTTTATGATATCTTCATGGATCTCTATTCATAAAAAAATTATTATTTAGTTATTTTAAAAGGGAAAGACTTGGGTACTTAACCTTATATACTTAATGTATAGTACTTGCATCCAATCAACTCAAAACAAGTGGAATTTAATGTGTTAATAATATTAATAAAAAATTATTATAGAATAAATAATCTATAACTGATATGCATATTTTGTTTTAATTAGAAACAAGCATGATAACATATAAAGCTAAGTATATAAAATTTTTCCTTTTCAAAAACTATTCAAAGTAGCCTTTCAAAATAGTCAGAACTTAGAACTATGTCTTTTTTAGATTTTGGTTATTTTCAAAAGTTTAAACAAATATAATAAAATTTCACAAAATAATTTTTTTTATAAAAAAAGTGATCATCTCGTAAAAGGAAGATCAAACAAATGGACCCCAAATTAAATCTCCAACTTTAATTTCATAACTTATTTTTACAAGGATTCTTAAAAATCATAAAATAAATTCATAGGAGTTCATTATATTTTGTGTTTTTAAATTAAAATTCTTCTTTGCAAAATTATTAAACCATGTGCATCTGTGTGTGTGTATAAACTCAACAGACTATATCAAATTTGCTGCCAAAAAATAAAAGTAAAATTGTGGGAATGGGAGGTCTGGAATTAGAATGTTTAATTTTATGCAACAAAATTCACAGCATTGTGATTTTATTGTGTTGTAATATTGCAGGAAATATTCAGAATGAAATAAGCACAAATTTGAGTTGCATTTACGTAAGTGCTAATCAGTTGTCTGGTCATATATCAAGAGGCATTGGCAAGTTCACTCGGCTTCAAGACTTATTTCTGGACAACAATAACCTAGAAGGTATATAAATACTTTTATCAAATTAAAGGCTAGTTCTGCTTAATTTCTGTTAATATGATATTTTATGCATGAGCAATCAAAATAGAGTTACTTTTTTTTTTAACCACATTGCAAAAGGAATTATTTCTTTACAATAGAGATTCTCTCAAATCCAAATTTATAAACACAGACGATGATAATAAGTTACTGAGCATTGATTAACCTTAAATAGGTATAGTGAATACATACATATACTCAAGGAATTGGAAAATTGACTATTATTTTATTTTATTATTTAGATTACGACCTACGGCTTTCACAACTTGTACTACAAATTTAACAGACTGTATCAAATATTCACCAACTTAAATTTCTTAATTAAAAATATATTTCAACTGCACATTACACTTTGGGATTGGTACGTAGCAATTCAAAACCATATATAATTAATGGGATTTATCCTTTCTTATCATTTAAACAAGCTTCTTATTATTTAAAAAGTAAATTTTTTTATTAAGAGTTAAAGAAAAACCGCTAACCCTTATTGAACTTGTTAATTTATCAAGAAATATAATTCATCAAAATACAAAAAATAAAAACTAGGCTAATATAGACTAAATTGTTTTTAAAACAAAGAACAATATAGATCTATATACCATAATTTTATTGATGATTTTAAATGTTTGCTCATCTTGTGAATATATAAATCTAATCATGCTTTAGACATATATAATCTTATTTTCATTTAGGCCACTAACTTTAAAACATAACATAACTTCAAATAACATAGAAAGTATGCGTTACCACAAATTTAAGTGTTGCTCATTTTACATACGATGATGCATTGTTAATTGTTTTCTATTTGCAGGAAATATTCCCAATGAAATTTTAAGTCTTGCAAATCTGATGATGATGAACCTAAGGGTTAATCAGCTATCTGGCCCCATATAAGGAGGCATTGGAATCTTGACTGTACTCCAACAGTTGTATCTTGATAGCAATAATTTAAAAGGTACATTTTCACCAAAATACAATGTACTACCATCATTTTCTGTTAATCTGATATTTTATATTGTATAATGACTTCTTTTCTTAATTTTTCTTTGAATCATGCATTTTCATTCCCCTCATGATTTTCACCTTCTCTCCTAACCTCTCCCCGTCTAAACCAGTGAATCAACCAACCAACATGTTTTTCTTGTTCCCTAAATTTGTTGACAAATTTTTTACCAGTTCACTACACATAAGATTTAATGGTTTATACTAGATTAGACCACAAGCTAGTTCACGTCCAACCAGCTGGTCTGGTCCAATTGTTAAAACCATGATGTAACTAACTATTTAGGTTTGTAATAGTACACATCAAAAATAACTTTAGAAGCTCAAGCCAGCAAGCTAAAAACTCATCATCCATTACTAAAAAAAAGACCTACAAGAGTGTTTATTGTAGACATAAAAAAATGTGAAATTATATAACAAAATTGTGACCACTAAATTAATGACGGCTACTGTACTAAGTTTGTTGCAAAGGCCCAAATCCATCACAAATTTGTCCAAAATTTTATGTTTAAGTAGTGGGTAAATCTAAGTAGTTAGACATTTATAATTTTCTTTACATATTAACTTTCTTTGATACTTCAATTAATATTTGTATTCTAGGATCAATACCTATGAAAATTGGTAATCTTCAACAGCTTGAGATTTTACAATTGTCTCAAAACAAATTGAGAGGGTTTATTCCATCAAAAATTCACAACTTGTCAACTTTGGAGGTCTTGTCTCTTTCAAACAATTCTCTATCAGGAAGTCTTCCATCAAATTTTGGATTTGGTCTTTCTAATCTACAAATGCTTTATTTATGGGGCAACATACTTTCTAGAAAAATCCCAATTACTATATCCAATGCTTCTAAGCTAACCATTCTAGAATTGGAAGACAATAATTTTGAAGGGGTTTTACCAAACACACTTGGGCATTTAAGATACTTAGAAACCCTTTCAATAAGTGATAATAATTTTACCAGTATAGATACTTCCAATTCTGAAATTGGCTTTTTCAAATCATTGTCAAATTGTAGACATTTGAACAGTTTGATTCTCTCAATGAATCCATTGCATATGAAACTTCCCAAGTCCATTGGAAACTTGCGTAATTCTCTACAAGTGCTACTTGTAGACTCGTGAAGGATTAATGGTAACATACCATCAGAAGTTGGGAATTTGTCTAACTTATTCCAACTATCATTGGCTGAAAACTTTTCAAATGGATCAATATCAAAAGCAATTAGCAACATACAGGCTCTTCAAGATTTGAATCTTGAAGCCAATGAACTATGTGGCTTGATTGTTGATGAACTTTGTGAAATTAGAAGACTTGTCTATCTACGTTTATGTCACACCCCAATACTAAGAGTATGATCGACATGGAATATAAAGTGAACGCACATTCCATAAGCCTTAACTGACTAGAAATTAAGCTAAAATAGTGATATGTGCAAGTTATATATAATAGTAAAGTTTGTAAAGTTTTAAAGTTTTTGTAGAAATTTTGGCAAAGTCTCCCCTATAATTTGGACCTCCTAAAATTTCTACAACAACAACAAAACCTACCAACTAGACTAGCAAGAAGACTAGCTCCATTCCAGCAATTTTTACAATAACAAAATAAGACTAGGATCTAACTATGGTGTACATGGAACACTAAATTATAATTACAAAATATAGTACCTAGTTTACCAAAAAAATAATTGCAATATGTGTCCTCTATTTTTCTAAAAACAAAAAGGCCCTTAATGATTTGCTGGAGGTACAAGGTCAACTACAATATTTACAACCAAATAAATTACCGATGAGTAGCATTCCAATTAAAATTATAAATAAGAAAATATGAAAATGATAAATAATAAATGTAGCTTCAAATGACTTAATGAAATAATGAATTGCATCCTTTAATTAGAAACAAATAAAGATTTTTCCCAATAATATGATCTTGAGATTAAACAATGCTAATAAGATCACATATATGTTAAAAGTTTATATTAACCATAAATATAAAATTTTCCCATGATAGTGTAGTGCGACAAAATACTTTCAGAGAATTATTAGAAAAATGATAAATTTTTAGTTTAAACTTAGGAGGGATTTATCAAAATGAATAACAAGTGTAGACACACAGTCCGTGAGGGTAAATAACCAATCAAGCGTGGACACACAGTCTATGAGAGTAAATAACCAATCAAGTGCGGCTGGAAGCCATGAAACAAGCACAGCAAGAGTCATGAATCAAGCGAAGGCATGAAGCCCATGAAAACAAGTATGAGTACAGTGCTCATGAATACCATCCCTCCGATCCACGTGCATTGGCCTTCATACAAGGCTAGCACATCCTATAAGTACCCTGCTAGTTAGGTGTTCCATGGCATGCTAAGGACTAACGAAACTGTTGTTAGCATCTAGCATTCTAAACTCAGTCCCTCTAATTAAAATCAAGCTTACAAAGAGTTGAAAAAAATTGAAAATTTTCACTTTTAATGTCACGCCCCAAAAATAGAGGGTGACTGGCACGAGTGTGAATTACTCTCACATTCTCGTAAGCCTCCAAATGAATATTTATTTCATTTTACAAGAGAAAAGAATAAAATTTAATCAAATCACATGAGAATTAAAATACCTTCTTTAAACTCATTATTATAAGAAAATGTCGACGTTTTTGTAGAAATTTCAGTAGAACCTCTCCTATAACTAGGATCTCCTGAAAATTCTACAACAAATTTTTTTACAGATAACAATATAAATTAGGAGCGTAGCTCCTTCTAGCCAGCAACCAATATACAGACCAAAAATAAAATTTATCACAACCTATGTGGAGCATCTACTCTTTCTTTCAAATCAAAAGGACATACAAATTATATATTTACATTAAAGCAACAATACCAATCAAAATGTCCACCCATTATAGCTAGTTGCCCTTTAGAGGTTGATAGTAGGATCAGCGTTGGCTAACAAATCTAAGACCAAATTAAATTTTTCAGTGAATAGCATTCTCATGGAAAAAATCTTAGAATTTTAATCAAGAATCTGTAATAATGGTGTCAACTAGTTAAAAGTAATTTCACCAAAATTTATAAACATGTAAGTCATAACTATAGTTATAAAATAAGAGTAAATTGAAAACAATTTATGTTATTATGCTTAAAGAAAACAATCTACTCACATGTAACTCAAAGTTGTATAAATTGCTAGCCAAAATCATGTAAATTTTATAAACACATATTAATCAACATTTAAAATCTTGAGAACTCAAACATGGACGCTCAGTCTATGAGGGTAAATAACTAAACATAGCTTATGTCGCAAAAACAAACATGGACACATAATCCACGAGGGTAAGTAACCAAATGCAGCCAAAGCTACGGAACAAACTTGGACACATAGCCCACGAGAGTAAGTAACCAAACGCGACTCAGGCCACGGAATCAAACGCGAGTACAAAGCCCATGAATATCAAATATGAGAATAAAGCTCATGAAACAAGCTAGCTAGTGTTTAACCACAGCGCTACGGGCTAACGGAACTGCCATTAGCAGTAGTGTTCTGTATAGAATTCTCTTAGAAATCCCGTTTCAAACATGTGAGAGAAATAATTATTTTTTTATTGAAGTCAAATTTTTATTCTCAAGATCAAACTTGCATGAATTGCTTCAAATATATAAAACTTGCGAAATCGATATGTCATAACGACTGTATAAACTTGTACTAATCATGTAACCAAGAAATTTTGAAACTCAATAAGCAAAGGTGCCTTCATCAATATTAGAAATATATTTCTTGAAAAAATGCGCAAATCATAATGTGTCTTTCATCATTATTTCAAAATTTCTAAAAATAACATAATTCATAAAAATGAAATATTTCAATAAAAGATTTTCAATAAATAATTATAAGGAATGCTATTCACTTACTTGTTAAAGTTTCAAATTCTCAAAACGTTCTTTCTTCAATTTCTATCAGGATCCTCTTCTTCCGCACTTCCTATAATGATATTATTAAACAAAATTTAACAAATCATCTTTAATTTACAAAGACTTCCTTCTACTTTGTATATATCAACCGTTATCATTTAAAATTCGTCACCAAAATTCATGCTTTAAAATTTTTCAAGCATTTCAATAGGCATCTCCATGAATTTAATATTCAAGCAATATATTAAGACTATCCTCTTTCAATCTTTCCTTAATAAGTTCTTTAACATGAATCAATCCAACCAAGATCTAAATTCTATGCCACTCACATACATATTATTATCAGGCTTCTTTCACATAGTTTCCTACCTCAAATTTTCCAGCTTAATTTCATTTTCATTATGTTATTTTATTTTACTTATCTTCTTGACACATGTGTGGACAGCAGCATAACAAAGCGAAAAAAATGTTGTAACTTCACGCATATGGCAGCAATAGCACATACTTTCTCTCACACATATAACATGCTAACAAATAGAAGGTCCAAATTCCCTCACCTCAACTCAGCCAGCCTAAACAGTGTAAACTGAGAGAAAGAAGAAACAAATGTGCTCTTGAATGCTGAACAGGGGGAGCTATAATCTAAACATTATCACCATATCCAACAATGGAAGAAGACTAATTCAGCTGCACAAACACAATCTCACAGTAATAGCCTTCCAACACTCAATACTTTGCGACTTCTCAACCCAGAACGACACGGACGGATAGCATACAGATAAAACACAGAAACAGGGAGCAAAGACCAGTACAGCAGAGAACAATGCTTATGATTTAGCTGAGAAAAGAAAGGCTCATGAGTAGAATCTCTAGCTCCAATGATTTAGCCTCACTCCAGCAGCAACCCGAACAGACAATAGAAATCGAACAGCGATTGAACCTAACAAAGACAACCAGAAATGGAACAGAGAATGACTATAAAGATAGGGAA